CCTCTCCCTTCCCCTCCCCTCCCCCTTCTCTATCCATTTGCTAAATGAATGTAGAGTTTTATTCTAAAAGTTTACTGCTGACTAAGCACAATGATTTTGACCCTGATTACACGTTTTCATTCAATTATCTAAAAAGATATTTTTGGAGATAAATATTTTCAAAAGATATTATTATTATTAAGATTTATTTTCACTTACAAATATAAATTTATATAATATGGTAGAACGTGTGAGGCTTCTATATATTATATAATAAACACGCTTGTTTACGGTTTTATAACACGTTAAATGAGTAAGTACCCCTGTAGCGGTTTAAATTGCAACCCGCGACTGGCGGGTTTTCCGACGCTCTTGCACACCAACATGAGCTGTTTGGAATAACATAATGATAAAATTTCCTGTATGAACGCTAGAATACAATTTATCACTTAGTTTTTCATTTTCTACCCCTTGATCAATTTGTAGAGTAGTCTAAAGGGTCATTTTTCAATTTATTTGTTCTATTTATTCTACAGCGTGAACCTATAATCATGTCGGGGCCTCGAGAAAATGTTAAGCGATGATTTAAATTTTCACAATTTTTATGCGGAAAATTTTGACACTACGTTAGGTTCGATTTAGCTCAGAGAAAAAAAAATCAATAAAATGTTGATGTCCACTTTTTACAGTGTACCAGGTAGATCCAAATATATTTTACAGTGTACCATGTAGATCCAAATATATTGAAGAAACCTAGAAACCTGTTACACTTACAATTGATGGATTGTACACTGCTGCTATGGTCTGTCTAGTTGAATATAAAGAAAAAGAAAACTTTTTTTCTAATACCTACCTCAACTTTATTTCTAAACCTTCATGTAAATGTATCCCCGCCCCTCTCTCACTCTCTCTCCTAACACTGTACCTCCCCCTCCAAGAATATTTTTCTGAAAATATTCAATTTTCTCGAAAATTTACTACTTTTCATAAACTATTTCCCAAAAACATATAGAAAAGATTTTACTCTCAAACCAGAAACTAAATTCCTATTTCGAAACAGTTCTTTTCACATCTATAGGTTTCCTAAGCTTGTGAAAACTTAATTATTTCATTTGGTTTAAAATGTTTGTCGAAGCATGAGACCAAAATGAATTTAAGTTTAAGGATTGGAAAACTTTTTTTTAAAAGTTTAAAATCTGGATATTTTATTCTATATTAGACTAGTTTTATTCCAAGGGTTACAAGGGTTGCGTTACAAAAGAAACTACAAAAATTGATAAAAAAATTGTGCCAAAATTTTACTTATCATATGCACTGACATATATGTAAGCTGGCTGGTCTATACAATTTTGGTTTATTATTTCAAATATTTAGAATAAAAATTTAATTTATGATTTATTTTCAGGTTGGTGGTAGACCCCTGGGAGGAAAGGTAGAACCTGAATCCCAACGTGGAGACGAGAGAAAACTGTTTGTGGGAATGCTCAGGAAAAACCACATTTTTTAAAAAGTTAAATCTTACAATTTTAAGCATAGTTTTTTGTGCGCTTTTAGATGCTCAAATAACCTTTTTCCATATCGTTATAAACCATAACATTTTCCCCTAGCATGCCACATAATAGCTTTTTTGTCTTCTAACCGTCATGAGCCAAAACCGTACGGTCTTCCATGCCACAGCATTTGAGTCTTCCGGCAGCTATTACTTTTTTAGTGCATTGAAATTGTGATTTTCAAAAATCCAGCGACGTCATTTAAGTTTTAAATCTAAATTCAATATTTCCTCTAAAATGGGTTATTTTTTGAAACATTGTTAAATGATGCACCAAAATATATACTCTTAAAGTTCAACTAGGGAGCCCATAACAAGAAAATTCTAAATTAGATTTTTTTGAGGAAATCTGTAACGCTCAGCTATAGGCAGTTAATCTAGTTATAAAGCAAAAATTGTGCAAACAAAAATTGCGCAGTGCAATAAATTATACATTTTTGAAAAGCCCTTACCCAGAGAATTCAAATCTGCAAAAACATTTTCAAAATTTTTAAAACCTAAATGTGTATTCAAGAAAAACTGAAAATTTGAAAGTTCCCTTGAAAGACGTCTGTGCAAAAATGTGTGCAAAATTTCTTTGCAAAAATTGTGCAATCTGGTTTCTTTTGTTATAGGATTTCTAAAGAGCTATAAAATGTTGAAATCCAATGACTGAAAGTAGGTCTAAATATAGATTTAGTTTGGTATAGGTAAAATAAGGCATTCATGCAGTATGTTTGAGGACTCAGGCAGTAGGTAAGAAAGCCCTACTTTTAGCATCAAGTTATGTGCACGAGTTAGTTAGAAAAGTAAAAAAATTTGAGCTTCTTAGCTCTAATACGTTTAGAGTTATCACAAAAAACGATAGGACTTCCTCACAACATCTGTCTCAGTGCCCATTGCCCACAATGCGTAAGAGGCTCATGGCTGCCGGAAGACAATAAAAATAATATGTGGCATGGAAGGGAAAATGTTGTGGCTTACATGACCACCTGCTTTCCCCCGCTCTCTAAAATGTTGAGTATAATGTAAAATACAAACCTAAACAGTCGAAGTTTTTCCAATCATATATTCTTTTATGTTCAACCTTCAACCGCTAAAATCACATTTTTTGAAATATATTTTTCTTCAACGAACAGATTCATATGTCAAAACTAGAATGAAGAGGGAAATGGCCATTTATTTCAACACGTTTTTGAAATATAAATTATATTTTAGTAAATAACTTTAACAAAATTGAGTTACACATAGTGTAAGTACAAAAAAACATTTCAACTGTAAAACCATTTATCTGAAGAAAAAATAAAAGATTGATAAACAGATTCTCGAATTTTTGATTTTCAACCAAATAGAAATGCTAAATTATTTTTGCCGATTCAATTGTTTTTTTTCGAGAAAATTTTTAGTAAAAGTTTGAGTTTGTTACGTGTTTGAAAATTTCAAATTACACTCTATAGTGACAACCTTTTAACACCGTTGAAAGTCATGTTGGTCTAGTGTCAACATTGCATAAATGTCTTGCAAAATACACACGGTTATTCATTGTTAGCTTTAATAATAGGAAAATTTAAACCTTTTTTTAAAAAATAATTTGACTTGATAATTCAAAAATAAATGTGTTTTATCCTGTTTGTCATTCTAAACATGTTTTTTTTGTAGCTTGAAACCTTTTTTTCGTTTTTATCTACGGAAAATAAGATGAATTCTGTCAATTTCTCTTCCTTAATTTATATAGTGAACCATACCAGACTTTGTCAATTTTTCTGATAGAAAATCAAGAATTTATCTGAAAGAAAATTATGATTAAAATTTAAACATCAAAATTCTTTTTTTCGAATTAAAAATAAATGTTCGGATTTTTCTAGTAAGCAGCAAACTGAGGAAGATGTAAGGCAAATATTTATCAACTATGGACACATAGAAGAGTGCACCATATTGCGGGGCCCAGACGGAGTTAGCAAAGGTCAGTGTTGAATTGTGTACACCAGATAGGATAGTGCTTGCGGGGCCCAGACAGAGTTAGCAAGGGTAAGTGTTGAATTGTGTAAACCAGATAGGATAGTGATTGCGGGGCCCAGACGGAGTTAGCAAGGGTAAGTGTTGAATCGTGTAAACCAGATAGGATAGTGATTGAGGGGACCAAATTAACATTTTCTCGTTGGGGTTGAATATTTTTATCAAATTTAGGAATATTGAATTTTTGCATAATTTTAGGCGATCATTTATTGACATCAATTATAGTTTATAGCAATGTTAATACCTTGTAAACCTTCATTTCAGCCACATAACACAACAACTTCAAAAAATATTTTATATCTTAAGGATCACAGGATCTAAGCTCTCCTACTGCAGTAGTTTCAAACATATTTAATGTCCTGATGTTGTGTTAATTACTGTAACGATATGTTATTACTGCAGAAAATATTTGATTTGATTTGATTTGATTTGATTTGATTTGAATTGATTTGATTTGATTTGATTTGATTTGGTTTGCTTTGAATTGATTTGATTTGATTTGAATTGATTTGAATTGATTTGATTTGAACTGTTTTGATTTGATTTGATTTGATTTGAATTGATTTGATTTGATTTGAATTGATTTGAATTGATTTGAATTGATTTGATTTGATTTGATTTGATTTGATTTGAATTGATTTGATTTGATTTGATTTGATTTGATTTGATTTGAATTGATTTTAATTGATTTTAATTGATTTGATTTGATTTGATTTGATTTCAATTAATTTGAATTGATTTGATTTGATTTGAAGAATTGTTTTGATTTGATTTGATTTGATTTGATTTGATTTGATTTGATTTGATTTGATTTGAATTAATTTGATTTGATTTGATTTAATTTGAAATAATTTGAATTGATTTGATTTGAATTAATTTGATTTGAATTGATTTGAATTGATTTTAATTGATTTGGTTTGCTTTGAATTAATTTGATTTGATTTGATTTGAATTGATTTGATTTGATTTGATTTGATTTGATTTGATTTGATTTGAATTAATTTGAATTAATTTGATTTGATTTGATTTGAAGTATTGATTTGATTTGATTTGAATTGATTTGATTTGATTTGATTTGAATTGGATTTTACCTAGGTTGTGCTTTTATAAAGTTGGGAAATCCTGACGCGGCGCACAGTGCCATTGCTCACCTCCATGGTAGCCAGACTATGCCAGTGAGTTGATTTTATTTTTTTTTTACATATTTATTTTTGAATTTTGAATTTAACAATATTCTGTAAATAATTATCTTCCATCATGTATGTTGGTTTTTAAAGTTGATTTTACAGATACAGTTGTCTTCAGAATTAAAGGAATTAGAAAATGTTTTGTTCAAATTATATTTCAAATTAAATTGCTCAATGCACAAGTCCATGTGCTTCTCTTAGCTAATGCTTTTGTTCTATATTGAACAATTTCATTAATATATTTAAGTCGTTTTCATATTGTACTTTTTGAGACAATTTTATCTATTTTGGTTTCTGCAATTAAATAAAAAAAGATTTTATTATTCTCATAATACTCTAATCTTCTAATCCTTATATCTTTCAAACTACAAAGGAATTGAGCCTTTGTCACAAACTCACATTTCCTACACCTTACACCTCTGCAACCTGATGGTGTAAACCTTTGATTTATCAAACTTAGATTAATTGATCTATCAGAATTTATAGTTTGAAATATTTATGGTCTGCAACCATGGGATTAGAAAATAAGAGTTTGTGGCAAAGACTCAATTTCCTTTGCGTAGATTGAATATTCAGAGTGTAAAAAAGATGTACACCATATTTAAGGATTTGAAGATTAGAGTGTACAAGAGATTTCAGTTCCTCTGTACTTTTTTGTTAATAGTTCAAAGTAATAAATTTTAATTTAACAAATTTGTATTGTTCAGGGCGCCTCTTCTAGCTTAGTCGTGAAGTTAGCGGACACTGAGAAAGAACGACAGGTTTTGATCTTTGGAACCTGATGGTTTAAACCTTTTTCATTTTAAGCTTTGATTATTTAATCTAACAAAATTCATAATCTGAAAAATCTATATATTGGTTTTAAGGACTTGAAAATCAGGGTTTGTGGCAATAACTAAAATTCCGTTGCAAGTTCACTCAAATTATAAATTTGAAAAAGTATGTTCACGAAAAGCGATTAAAGGACTAAAATAATACTAAAATAAATGCTAATCCTCTTCTTTTTTAAAAAAAAGCTTCCCCTGTTTCTATTTTTAACTTTATGTTAGGTTTCAAATGGCCTGACTTTAATATAATTGGTATTTCGTGTTAGTTCTGACACATTTTATACATTGACCCTCCTACATAGTTATATCTATAGGAATTCAACATGAAACATTTTACACTTATTAATGAAACCCAAAAGTATTTAGAGATTATAGATAAATGGTACATAAACCCCTTAAAGGGACTGTAAGCGTATTTTCAAGTGACCCACTCCTGTATGCCGAGTCCATTAGCGCCTGATCCAATCAGGGTTCAGTCATGTGTTTGATGTCTATTCTGAACCAATAGAAATATAGTATGGCGGTAACATCTATCTTTCTAGCTATCTCATTATCCAATCAGAGTTTTGAATCCTTTAATCGGCGCTATCAGTAAATGGAAATATTTACTTCTAATGGAACTATATGGTGGACCCTCCATGCAAATATGGCAATGCTAGATTTAATCTGATCAAACACGTAGTAGATCCTCGAAAAGTATCTGTGAGTTTCTTCATTGCTTCTTATAAACAAGAAATGCGCAAGCCACTTTCGCAGAGAAACCGCAATTAAAAATATACAGTTTAATATTGTATTGTAAATCGGGCATGGCAGTTTTTTCATGGCGGATCCCTTGTAATTATGCTTACAGTCCCATTAAATTTCGCCCTCGGGTTTATCCTTACATCCTTCAGGGGTTTATTTTTCGATTGATTCTAATTAATTTTAGAGTAAATAATATTCCTTTGTAAAAGGCTGGCTTTAACATGGACCTGTAAAAATAAGTTTTTTGATTAACAATACAATATTTAGGTTCGTCGAATGCAGCAGATGGCTGGAAGCATGGGACTCATTAATCCACTTGTTCTTAATCCACTCACTCCTCCGGGATACAATCCCTACACACAGGTATACAATCCCTTTACTCCTCCGGGATACAATCCCTATACACAGGTATACAATCCCTTTACTCCTCCGGGATACAATCCCTACACACAGGTATACAATCTCTTCACTAATCCGGGATATAATCCCTACACACAGGTATACAATCTCTTTAATACTCAGAGATACAATCCCTACACACAGGTATACAATCCCTTTACTCCTCCGGGATACAATCCCTACACACAGGTATACAATCTCTTTACTACTCGGGGATACAATCCCTACACACAGGTATACAATCCCTTTACTACTCCATATACAATCCCTACACACAGGTATACAATCCCTTTACTTCTCCAGGATACCATCCCTACACACAGGTATACAATCTTTTTAATACTCCGAGATACAATCCCTACACAAATGTATACAATCTCTTTACTACTCCATATACAATCCCTACACACAGGTATACAATCTCTAATACTCCATATACAATCCCTACACACAGGTATACAATTTGGCTGGAAGCATGGGACTCATTAATCCACTTGTTCTTAATCCACTCACTCCTCCGGGATACAATCCCTACACACAGGTATACAATCCCTTTACTACTCCGGTATACAATGCCTACACAAAGGTACACAATCCCTTTACTCCTCCGGGATACAATCCCTACACACAGGTATACAATCCATTTACTACTCCGGGATACAATCCCTACACACAGGTATACAATCCCATTACTTCTCCTTGATAAAATCCCTACACACAGGTATACAATCCAATTACTACTCCGGGATACAAACCCTACACACAGGTATACAATCTCTTTACTACTCCATATACAATCCCTACACACACGTATACAATCTCGTTACTCCTCCGGGATACAATCCCTACACACAGGTATACAATCCCATTACTTCTCCTTGATAAAATCCCTACACACAGGTATGTAATCTCTTTACTACTCCGGGATATAATCCCTACACACAGGTATACAATCTCTTTAATACTCCGAGATACAATCCCTACACAAATGTATACAATCCCTTTACTCCTCCGGAATACAATCCCTATACACAGGTATACTATCCCTTTACTACTCCATATACAATCCCTACACACACGTATACAATCTCTTTACTCCTCCGGGATACAATCCCTACACACAGGTATGCAATCTCTTTACTACTCCGGGATATAATCCCTGCACACAGGTATACAATCTCTTTAATACTCCGAGATACAATCCCTACACAAATGTATACAATCCCTTTACTCGTCCGGGATACAATCCCTATACACAGGTATACTATCCCTTTAATACTCCATATACAATCCCTACACAAAGTTACGATCTTTTTTCTGATTCATCTCAATCAATTACAAGGATACCATCAATTACCATATGTAATGTTGAAACCTCTAATACCTAAAACTACATTTACCAAAGTACACAATTACAATTTAAATGTAACAAAATAAAAAGTACTCCAAAATAAAAAGTACTCTAAAAATCCTTTTGATTTGTATAAATGTATTTGTTAGAATTTAAAAGACCAACTTGCAAATCTTATTCTTGTATGACGCAAAGTTGGACATTGAAACCATTGCAAAATGACAATTTAATCTTATAAAAAGTTATATAACCCCCCCCCATCCCCCCTACTTTTCTTAAACAATTGAATTGCTAACCCTCCAATCACTTTCTTCTGTACATCCTTTTTATCTTCAATATTTGCTTCCTTGACATTTAGATGAAAATATTGGAAATAGTTCAGGTTCCATTACAAAATATACTTTGACTACAACTAAACTCTTGACAAAAATAAATATCTTTGTTTTATGATATTTTATAAATGGTCGAATCCATACTTCATTTATTCATTTATTAGATTACCAATATCCATTATCTATCTATTCATCTTAAATCTATATTCTAGTCTATCCATCATCTATCCTTTTATTATATTTCTGTATTTTAGTCTATCCATCATCTATCTATTCATCTTATATCTATATTTTAGTCCATCCATCATCTATCTATTCATCTTGAATCTATATTCTAGTCTATCCATCATCTATCCATTCATCATATATCTATATATTCTAGTCTATACATCATCTATCCATTTATCTTGTATCTATATTCTAGTCTGTCCATCATCTATCCATTCATCTTATATCTATATGCTAGTCTATCCATCATCTATCCATTCATCTTATATATATATATATTCTAGTCTATCCATCATCTATCCATTTATCTTATATCTATATTCTAGTCTGTCCATCATCTATCCATTTATCTTATATCTATATTCTAGTCTGTCCATCATCTATCCATTTATCTTATATCTAATATCTATATTCTAGTCTATCCATCATCTATCCATTCATTTTATATCTATAGTCTAGTCTATCCATAATCTATCTATTCATCTTATATCTATATTCTAGTTTATCCATCATCTATCTATTCATTTTATATCTATATATTCTAGTCTATCCATCATCTATCTATTCATTTTATATCTATATTCTAGTCTATCCATCATCCATCTATTCATTTTATATCTATATAATCTAGCCTGTCCATCATCTATCTATTAATTTTATATCTATAGTCTAGTCTATCCATAATCTATCCATTTATCTTATATCTATATTCTAGTTTATCCATCATCTATCCATTCATTTTATATCTATATTCTAGTCTATCCATCATCTATCCATTCATCTTATATCTATATTCTAGTTTATCCATCATCTATCCATTCATCTTATATCTATATATTCTAGTCTATCCATCATCTATCTATTCATTTTATATCTATATTCTAGTCTATCCATCATCTATCTATTCATTTTACATCTATATATTCTAGTCTATCCATCATCTATCTATTCATTTTATATCTATATATTCTAGTCTGTCCATCATCTATCCATTCATCTTATATCTATATTCTAGTCTATCCATCATCTATCTATTCATTTTATATCTATATATTCTAAAGAAGAATTTCCCCCAATAATAATAGAACCAGAGCAGGATAATACTTTTTCTAATATTTGACATTTTGCTTGAGTGGATTTATATCCAGGTTTTCTCTACTGCAGTTCCTTGCAAATTTTCAATGCAGGAACTGCATATAGTTGCATTCGTGCATGATGCAGCGGATGTAGGCACAAAGGGGATTTGGACAATTTTTATCTCAAATCAGATATCGTTATTTAGAAAATTTTTGTTAGTTTCAATTTTCTTTAAAACTCCAGCATAATATTTCTATTCATTGATCTGTTCATTTCTTAATAAATACAAAGTATCTGTAAGCAATGCAAATTAACTATTACGTACGCAGAATTGCATTCATGAAGGAAGTTTTTGTTAGACTTTGTCAACCGAATTTGCGTCATGATCAATTTCCAAACTTCCCGCATTAACCTTGAATAATTTGCGTCAGAATTGGTAAACTTCCATTCTTAAATCTTTAGCGCCATCTTACATATTGGATAGGTCTTGCACACTGGAAATATCTTGAATAGATCTTGGATAAACCTTGGGTAGATCTTGAATAGATCTTGGATAGATCTTGCATATATCTTGGATATAGCTCTTGGATAGATCTTGGATATATCTTAGATAGATCTTGAATAGATCTTGAATAGATCTTGAATAGATCTTGAATAGATCTTGAATAGATCTTGAATTGATCTTGGATAGATATTGGATAGATCTTGGAAAGATCTTAAATAGATCTTGTAAAGATCTTGGATATATCTTGGATAGATCTTGGATGATCTTGGATAGATCTTGGATAGATTTAGGAAAGATCTTGGATAAATCTTGGATGGATCTTGGAAAAATCTTTGATAGATCTTGGATATAGATATTAGATATATCTTGGATAGATCTTGGATAGATCTTGGATAGATCTTGGATAGATCTTGGATAGATCTTGGATGGATCTTGGATAGATCTTTGATGGATCTTGGATATAGGTCTTGGATAGATCTTGGATAGATCTTGGATATAGGTCTTGGATAGATCTTGGATAGATTTGGGAAAGATTTTGGATAGATCTTGGATGGATCTTGGAAAAATCTTTGATAGATCTTGGATATAGATATTAGATAGATCTTGGATAGATCTTGGATAGATCTTGGATAGATCTTGGGTAGATCTTATTGGACATAATTGGGATAAAAACTATTTCTTTTCACTTTCAAGTTTTGTATCAACTATCTTGTGTCCTGTATCCACTATCCTGTATCTTCTGTACTGTATCCTGTACCATTTATTCTGTATCCTGTATCTTCTGTACTGTATCCTGTACCATTTATTCTGTATCCTGTATCATGTATTCTGTATCCTGTATCCTGTATCCTGTATTATGTATCCTGTATTCAGTATCCTGTATCATGTATTCTGTATCCTGTATCCTGTATTCTGTATACTGTATCATGTATCCTGTATCCTGTATCCTGTATCCTGTATCCTGTATTCTGTATTCTGTTTCCTGTATCCTGTATCCTGTATCCTGTATCATGTTTTGTTTAGTTTGCTCCGCTTATAAATCAGCAGACTGCACTTGTTGCTGCTTCCGCCCAGGTATACGTTTATTTAATTTTTTACCGGGTTCATGATAATGAATTTAAGCTCAATCACGGATTAAAGACACGGGGTTGAACTGTTTTTAGACCTTGCTTACCTTCAATAAATTTGGTTATAAGTTAAGATATCAGAAAAACATCACACTTACTCAACCCAATGAAAGCTTCATAAACATATGTACATGTACGTTGTCAGTTTTCATCATTAAAGTTATTACATATTACTGAAATAAATATTGTGACAATGCATTTTAAAAGGCTTGTTATGCATTTCTCATGTTTTCTGTATGTATATGTATTATTTACTAGGGTGCCTACCAGGGTCAGATGACTGGTATATATATTATATTATTTACAAGGGTGCCTTCCTGGGTCAGATGACTGGTATATATATATTGTATTATTTACTAGGGTGCCTACCTGGGTCAGATGACCGGTATATATATATTGTATTATTTACTATGGTGCATACCTGGGTCAGATGACCGGTATATATATTTTATTATTTACTAGGGTGCCTACCTGGGTCAGATGACCAGTATATATAAATATTGTATTATTTACTAGGGTGCCTACCTGGGTCAGATGACCGGTATATATATATTGTATTATTTACTACGGTGCCTACCTGGGTCAGATGACCGGTATATATATATATATTGTATTATTTACTAGGGTGCCTACCTGGGTTTCAATAAAATAAAGTTGCAAATACCTAAATGTATTTTAAACATTTTTTAAGATGTTCTTGCCAATGGTGATACAGGGACTCTACAACAAACATTTTCTACAATCCCTTATCCAGGCATAGGTAAACGCATCAGCTTGTTCAGTCATTTAATATTTTTTATGTCGAAATAAATGCCGATTAAGGCCCCTTTTCTTATATCTAATTCAAGATATTACGTAGCTTTTGAAAACTCCAATTTCAATATTCTTTTTGAAAATATTCCCTCACTTTAAGGGACTGTATGCATGTTTAAGGGACTGTATGCATGTTTTTAAGTGATCCATTTATAGAGGTGCATAGTCAATTCACAACGGCACCTAAGAAACCTTGACTGATTAAAGATACCAGATTCGACGAAACTAATGATTTTTAGCACTTTGTACGTGTATGAAAGCATTTTTTACAATTAGAAAATTCGTTCATTATTCACTTCCCAAGAATAACAGAAAATATATATTTTCTATCAAATTTTTAAGAACTGCTGAATTGGACTTTATAATATTCGAGATTGTCGAGAAATATTTGAATTAAGATGTGTACACAGTGTTTAGCTTCACGGGTGAAGTTTGGACACCTTTTTTAGCAAGGAAAAGACTGATATATTCACCATTGATAATTAGACAAACGTTAAGACAATGGTTTCATGGGTACCACTGTGAATTGAAAATGCTGCTCGATAAATGGAGGCTCAATTGAAATTACCTAAAAAGCCATTTTCAGATTTGTTTTGAAATTAAATTATGGAAATATATAAAATGGTGATTTTTTTCTTCAGCGCATTTCCCCCCAAACCTTCTTGGTCCGTTGGGTTCTGGAAGCTCCTCTCCTCCACTCAGCTGCTCCCCAACCCAGGCTCAGCAGCAGCAGCTCTCATCCAACGGTCTTCATCAGCTAACAATGGCAAACCTCCAGCAGCTTCAGCAGCTCTCACTGTCTCCCCAGATGGCTCTGCACCTTAGTGGAGGACAACTTGGAGGAGGTCTCGGAGGACAACTGGCTGGAATGGGAGGTATTGGTGCAGGTCTCAATCCTATCGGAGGAGTCGGAGGCTTGAACGGTTTAGGAGGGATCAGTGGACTTCCCTTCATGCTCCGTGAAGGTTCGCGCATGATTGTAAATCATCAAGTGCCAACGTAACTCTGTTGTATTCTCTGTTTTGTTGTGTTTCGACATAATTATTTTTTAGGAAATTCGACATTAATTTTTCTTTAGGAAATTCGACATTTTGAGAAAACGTCTATATTTCAGGTTTTGTACAAATGTGCATGTTGCTGTTATCGTGTTATGTGATAATCATAATATTCATTAGACCTACAAGAAAAAATTCATTTTAGGGAAAACTTTTTAATTCCAGAATTAATAAATTTTCACTTTGGCCACTTTTCGCAGGCTTATAAATTCAAAATCTGGTAATATACCCGGTCACTAAACCTAGAAATATTGTCACTAAACCTAGAAATATTGTCACTGTACTTAGAAATATTGTCACTAAACCTAGAAATATTGTCACTGTACCTAGAATATTGTCATTAAACCTAGAAATATTGTCACTGTACCTAGAAATATTGTCACTGTACCTAGAAATACTGTCACTGTACCTAGAAATACTGTCACTGTACCTAGAAATATTGTCATTAAACCTAGAAATATTTTCACTAAACCTAGAAAAATTGTCACTGTACCTAGAAATATTGTCACTAAACTTAGAAACCTTGTCACTAAACCTAGAAATATTGTCACTGTACCTAGAAATATTGTCACTAAACCTAGAAATATTGTCACTAAACCTAGAAATATTGTCACTGTACCTAAATATATTGTCACTTAACTTAGAAATCTTGTCACTAAACCTAGAAATATTGTCACTAAACCTAGAAATATTATCACTGTACCTAGAAATATTGTCACTAAACCTAGAAATATTGTCACTGTACCTAGAAATCTTGTCACTAAACCTAGAAATATTGTCACTGTACCTAGAAATATTATCACTGTACCTAGAAATATTGTCACTAAACCTAGAAATATTGTCACTGTACCTAGAAATCTTGTCACTAAACCTAGAAATATTGTCACTGTACCTAAAAATATTCCCACTAAACATAGAAATATTGTCACTAAACCTAGAAATATTGTCACTGTACCTAGAAATATTGTCACTAAACTTAGAAATCTTGTCACTAAACCTAGAAATATTGTCACTGTACCTAGAAATCTTGTCACTGTACCTAGAAATATTGTCACTAAACCTAGAAATCTTTTCACTAAACCTAGAAATCAGGTCACTATAAGCCTGGTCAGTAAGCCAAGAAATCTGGTCATAAAACCTAAAAATCTGGTCAGTTAGCTTAGAAAGCTGGTCATAAAACCTGGAAATCTGGTCATAAAACCTAAAAGTATGGTCATAAAACCTGGAAATCTGGTCATAAAACCTAAAAATCTGGTCAAAAAACCTAAAAATCTGGTCATAAAACTTAGAAATCTGGTCGTTAAATCTAGGAAGCAATCAATATCAATCAATGCTAAGAATACTAGACTCCTCTCTTCTCCACCTCTTATCTCATCAATGTCAATTTTCTTCTTCTTTCATCCCCGGCATTGAGAAAATTACTAAATGCCAAAATTTCCTTTCTTTTAACAAACAAAAGGATTCGCAAATTATTTTCAGAAAAAAAGTTCTCTCCTCATCTCTATACAGAGGTTAACTGGAAACCAATTCCGCCATAATCAGATTTAGAAATATTGAAACAATTCTGCAGAATTTAATTCAGTTCAATCGCATTTCGATATTCATTTCTCGGAAACCCTGTATTAAAGAGAAAGTTCTCTAAATTTTAATTATGATTCCATTTTTCTGCTAAAATAATTTGACATTAATTAACCGTCCTGGGGCAACTAGAAAAAAATTTCTGTTTTTATAAATATTTAGACCCAAAAAATCTTTTTTTTATCACTTCGTGTCTAATTCCATTTTTCCATTCTTCCATTATAAAAGTATATCCTACTGGGCTTCCAATGCGCTTTAACTTTTGATTATTTTTCTATCTGCGGCATTTTCTCTTTTAAAATTATCAAATAACAACAAAAAATGTCGCGGATTTATCGAGTTTTTCGTGGATTTTAAAAAGTCTAATTTTTTAATTTACATATAACCTCCCTGCAGGGGGTCATGTAAGGTCCCACAAAAAAATTTGTATGCATCATTTCAGCCATTTTATCGATTATCATTGGATGCAGACAAACAGACACCCAGACAAGCAAGTATGTATTATATATCTAAACTGTTAAAGAAATTTAGATTTTTAAAAATAACTGTTGGAGGATATCTTAAACTGTAAAAAATTGTCAAACCCTTTATGTGTGTATTGTGGTTACCTGTTTACACGTGAAACCCAGTTGTAAAAAGTGACATAACCGATTTACTACCGTACCCTTTAAACACCTATCAGAGAGAAAATGAGGAAGATATTATGGTTTTAATATGTTGAAAAATATAAAATTATTACAAATTCCTTAATTGTCTCCGCACAATTAATCCGCAAATAATTTTTATGGAGAACCCACAATTGAGAAAAAAACTATTTTGTGGTACAAAAATAAGAATATATCTTTAATCCTTGATCAGATAATGGATTAAAAGGTACCATTGTGAATCAAACATGCGACTCTACTTGAAATTGTGTAGACTGTCTCTTTAACAAGTTGGATTTCTCGTTCAAATCTCTTTTTCTCCATGTTTAACCCTATATACCTGTGTTTAGGATGTTCAATAAGTGGACCTGAGGGGTGTAACCTATTTATCTACCACCTCCCCCAAGAGTTTGGTGACGCAGAGTTAATGCAAATGTTTCTACCCTTCGGTAACGTCATCAGCTCTAAAGTGTTTATTGACCGAGCTACAAACCAAAGTAAATGTTTTGGTTTCGTCAGCTTTGATAATCCTACAAGCGCTCAGGCGGCCATTGGAGCTATGAACGGATTCCAGATCGGTATGAAGAGACTCAAGGTTCAGCTCAAGAGACCTAAGGATGCCAATCGTCCTTACTAAGGTATTAGTAAGGTAAGGTAAGGTAAGGTAAGGTAAGGTAAGTAAGGTAAGTAAGGTAAGTAAGGTAAGGTAAGGTAAGGTAAGTAAGGTAAAGTAAGGTAAGGTAAGGTAAGTAAGGTAAGTAAGGTAAGGTATTAGTAGCAAATGTTTGATTTCATATCTTGGTAAATACAGGGTTACCCACAAAAGATAAGACTTCAGAGACGACTGTACGGATATAAAACTGGATTTTGCGATAAAAAATTCAATTTTCGCAAATTTGCAAATGTTTTTGCAGATTCTAAAAGTAGAGCACAAGAGCTTTCTAATGATGTATCATTTGTCATATTTGGACATAAAACATGGGATTTAGAGGGGGCCCCCCCCCAGCGTATACTGGTTTTCAAGTACCCCAGCAGGGATAGGGTTAAGAAAAATGATAAAAACAATTCGCAACAAAACTTTGACAATCTTAGATATAAACATACTGAGTCTTTGTTGTATAAGTTCAGTCTAATTGAAATTACCCTTACAGTCAATTCCTCTCTAATAGTAATAAATCTGTAATTATTTAAGCTGCAGATTTTTACCCCTATTCCGACTAACACCTGGTTTACCCAAATAGACGGGGGCTGCAAATCTATAACATTGGATAAATTTTTTAAAAGCCCTTGGGCTCTACTTCAATAATTAAAGAAGAAAAATACAGATTTGCAAAAATCCGAATGTTTATTGCGAAATCTAGTTATTTAGAAAAAAGTGTGCAAAAAACGAAAATTTCGCGAAATATGACAAATTATACATTTAAACCAATGAGTTATCGCAAAAACACGATAGAGGGGGTGAATAGGGTTAAGAAAATCTGGAAAGATCTTGAAAAATCGATATAAATGTTGCATATTGATAATCGTCAAAAACAAAAATTGTAATTTAACTTTTTTTCGAAATTTTCGTTTGCTCCTACTCTACTCCTCCCTCCCTCCCACCTCTCCCCTACCTAAGTTTAAAAGAAAATCTGTATGAATGCCAGTAAGATAATGATATAATGGAAATGGTAATAGAGTGTGATATAGTTTGTTTCTCTAACATTGTTCCTCCATTTCCAGATTGGAGTGGGTGTAGGGGGGTACCCGGAGCTAAAGCTTGGTTGAGGGGGTACCCGGAGCAAGGAGATCTGTCTACTAGAACTGATGATCATTACAAGAGATATAAATCTCAAGGGTCCGCTCTCCAGTCTTACTTTTCCTCATCATGTATAATGATAATCATAATAATCAGTGAAGTTATACAATAATATATCAGTATTTTTACCCTTTAGTCAATATAATCAAATACTTTACATATAACTTATAATATGTTTAGTATCGACTTGGATAATGAAAAATATATCATTGTGATATATATATGTATATATATATCAATATATACAAAATCACCATGAACCTATGTGAAAAAGAATAGTTTTAACAATTGTAGTCAAAATTTACTAGAATTTCTAATTTATTTGTCCACAATGTTTCAAGACTCTGAAACAAGATCTTCGACTTACCTTGTCCCTGTTATTCATTTTTAAACTTAACACATGAAAACAAAAACCACAAATGCGGGAAAATAAAAACCGGTTTTTCAAAAGTTAAAGAGCGCATCTCTGATCTTTAGAAATGAATCTCAAGACTTGATTAGTCTTGAGATTATGAAAAAGAGAGAATCAAGCATTGATCTCGATATCCACCATTCTGAAGTTTTTTGCTCTTGTTATTCATTTTTAACCTTGATATGAATGTTTATTGAAAATCAAAAATTAAGATAAATCAAAAAAGATTTAATGCATGCTAATTGTAGTAACCATGTTATACCAAAAAACAATGTGTCACCCCAAAAATGATATTTCATAATTTTAAAATTGAAAAAAAATGTTTTAGTTATTGAATTGTATACAATCCCTAAAAGCATATCAAAAAATCAAAACTTTTGGTTAAACATTCAATACTTTTTGCATTTAATACTATCGTTAAACAAATCATCATCTATCAGAATATATTCCTTATCAGTATACAACAACTTGCTGTGAAAGCATTTTTAATCGACGCTAGTCAGTTCTTTTATTTTAAATCTTTAAACTTGCTATCTACCTATCTAGTCAGGGTATTTAGAGCTGGGGTAAGAAAGCTTGAAATTGAGAAATGTTGGTATTTTTTAAAAGTTGCGAAAATTGCGCTTTGAAACTTTTAGAACTTTTTTGTTTTAAGCGCGGTATAAAACCGTTACAACCGCAATAATTATAATCCAACCATCTTTTCAAATCAAATTTTTTATCTTTCCTCTTTATCCTTTAATGCAGGGACACCTTTAAAAGTATTGCATAGTTCCGCAACAAAATAAATATTTGCACGATAAAAATATCTTTTAACAATTTATTTCAAAATTAGTAACTTCTTTTTTTACAGTTTGTAATCTAATGATTACATTGTAGTTATAAAAGTATACAGGAACAGCGTTTGTGAAAACAGTACATATTCAATCCATGTACCCTTGTGTGTATGACGTATGTACTTTGTACATGATTCCACTATATATTTATAACGCATGTTTTGTTTCTACGCCTTTGAACTTCAATAAATTTTCTACACATCTGCACTGTTTAATATAATTCATGTAATTCTTTCTTATGTAAACAATTGTTTTCAATTAATACAAGAAGTTTCTCTTTTATCTCTTGATATTATTTCTTGAGTCCGTCCTAGCCTGAAATTGATCAAATGAAAAGTCCGGAGAAATTTTCATTCTTTTCTTCTATCAGTTCAAGCGTGAGTTTCAAAGGGAAACAGAGACATGGAATTCTTTGTGCGATCACTCCAGATGTTGGGGTAGGGGGGGGGGGGA